AAAATATGCAACCTGAGACTCTAGAAGATAGATTGGAATATGTAAATTAAAATCTGAATAGATTAGAGAACTTACTGGAATACGATTGTCTGAATTGTCAAACACTATCTCAACAAAAGCAGATACAACCGAGTGTCCAGCACCTTCCTGGCAATGGTTATTAGTAAGGTATATCAAACACCATCAATCTATTCCAACTATCTAGATTGCTTAAACAAAGAGGGAGCATACATGGAGAAGGGCACCCCTATCTTCACTTCGCAGGTTCTGAAACATGTCACTCAGGACAAATCGTATAGCTGGAGCATTAAGAATAAACAAATCAGGAGAATATTCTCGCATAAGAGCAGAAATATGATAGTATAGCAGTGCCACATGTTTAAAATTACCATGAAAGAAATTTGATTTGCCAGATCCATTTGCACCAACTGTGGCAAACAATTAAATAAATGTCAGTTCTTTAAGAGCAGAAAAAATACGCATTAAAGTTCTAGTTGCACTATAGTACTTGCAATGAGTTCAGCAGAAAGATTAGAAGATCACTATAGAGCAAAAGAGCAAACGAACAACAAGCACACAGAAGAGTTACATGGACTTAACCATAACTGTTTCAAGCTCATGGTTTTCTGGTACAATGCATGCATGCATGTGCCATGGCTATGCTAATTTCCAAAACAAAACAACAAACCCAATTTAGCAAATAAAGGAAAACAGAATCTTGAAGATGCACCGAATCTTGATCATCACTAACTAAAGCTTTGCAATTAACCTACTATGCAAGGATTTATCTATTGAAGGCCAGATATAGATAGAGGTTATGTTGCTGCATGAGTGACTTATGACAGCAAATTAAGTTGTCTGTGCATCCGATAGGAAGCAAAACACGTGAAACTAATCACCCTATGACTACAGTAATATATTAGTTTGTGAGTGAGGGAACAGCAGAGGGGGTTTACCAACTACGTTAACTTTGGGACTGAAGGGCTCTGTTGAGATCTCCTCCCTGTAGCTCTTAAACCCTTCGATTATGACCTGTACAGACAGATGGCTAATAAGTCAACAAATTTTCATGAAAAATGCCACCAAATTGTGCCGAGGGCAGAACATCTTGCCTTCTTTATATACATTTTTGAGGCCGGGACAGGTCACACCACCATGAAAACCCTGCAAAAGAGCATGGTAACTCAGTAACAAGAAAACCCTCCACACAAAAAAGCAGCAGGGGCGGATCCAGTAAAGGGACATGGGTGTACACAAGTACAGCCAATATTGTTTGCAAAACTTCGAAGTTAGGAGGCTTGTCAAATAGCTAAATAGCTTTAGGTTAGGGTTTCGGTGCTCAGCTTCGCACAGCATAAGGGAAGGGAAGAGAAGGGGTGGGAGTACCTGGTGGGTGCTCGTCGCCGGCGAAGAGACCAACGAAAGCCTCAGCACCGACTTAGGGCGGCGGCGGCTGAACAGTCGTCTGAGAGCGAGAGGGGAGAGAGAGAGAGAGAACGAGGAGAGAGGGATGCAGCCGACGGAAGGGGGATGCAGCGGATGCATCGACGGGCGGGAAAAAAAAAACGCACGGGCTTCTTGTGGGCCGTTTTTTCAGTTTCTTTGAAAATTTCTGTTTTTTTTATTTTTCTTTCTCTCCCTTTTAAATTTTTATTCTGTTGATTTCATATCTATTCTCTTCTTTGGACACTATCAATGGCTACTACTGTTGTCAAAAAAATCTCTAGTACAACATTTGTTTTAAATAACAGAAATTTCATATCTATTCTCTTCATTGGACACTATCAGTGGCTAGTAAATATATAGTACATTCTAAATAAGTAAATGGAATTTTTTATATTTTATTAAGTTGAATATTTTTTTATTGAAGCTTGAAAGTGCAATCAAGCCCTAATTGTGGGTTTTGGTGATAATGACCACGCAATTAGAGAACTAATGAGATTTATCGAGATAACAAGCAGAAAATTCATGTTCAAGGATGCTACACGAAACGGAGCCCCCAATCACAAATGTAGATGGCTTCAAACTCAGAGGATGTTTAAATTCTTTTATATTTTGAATTTAAGTATAGAAAAAGCCGTACTATAAAGGGAGACACGATGCTTAAGCTATATGTGCTACCAAGTTATCGGGGACCAATACTAGGGTACCCGAAGAAGAGGAGCTAATGACCATCAACATTGATTCATCCGAGCAGTCAGGAGCGTGACTGCAGCTCCCAACCGACCCCAGGCGCACAGGCTCCGACTCGCCCGACCTCTAGGGACGGCTCTAATTCGCCCGACCCCGAGGCCACGGGCTCCGCCTCGCCCGACCTCTGGGGACAGGCTCTGGCTCGTCCGACCTCGAGGCCGCGGGCCCCGCCTCGCTCGACTTCTAGGGGCGGGTTCCGCCTCGCCCGACCCCGAGGCCGTGAGCTCCACCTCGCTCGACCTTTGGGTTTGCGCTCCGCCTCACCCAACGGAGACCCATACTGCCGTCAACCACTCCAGGTCCAAGCATATGGGCCTGGGTCAAAACTCTGACACCAAGGAAGAGACCGGCACACCCCGATGTAACACGTGGCCATGACAGGCCATACCTGAGGATTCACATCAAGAACAGCGTCGAGCATACCGGTGATGTTCTGCCTAACCCTCGTACGAACGCTGACAGGCGCGTCAGTTCACCACAACGCCCGCCGCGACGGAATTGAGCGCCATGACCGGCAGATGACGCCTGCGTATGGCGTTAGTGACGGACAGGGCCGCGACGTGGAGTCGTCCCTGTTGACATCAACAGGGTCACGCGGGACCCGTGTGATGGAGAAGACAGACCTGGCAATCCTGGAAGCCTTCCGCTCTTTGTTTCTTCTCCTTCTTCCTCCACTGTAACCCGTTCTTTTCCTTGGCCTATAAAAGGAAAAGCAGGGCGCCCCATGAAGGGGATCGATTCAAGCTAGACCGAACGAATCGAACCATCAAGGATCCGATCCAACCCCGAACCGATCAGATCCAGATCCACAAAAAGACACGACACGAACACACGGCTTAGCAGCTACTGGGCTCTCAGCACCCGTTCACTCCTTTCACCAAAGACTTGGGACATGTCCCTCTCTCGTCCATTTGTAACCCCTACTGCAAACTTTCAGTGCTAGTAACACAAGCAGCAGCGATGAACTGGACGTATGGACTTTCTGTCCGAACCAGTATAAACCTCGTGTCCTCTAAGCACGCCATCCGAGCCAGACGTGCAATACTAGAAATTTACTCATCGGTGATAACTCGAAACACTGACAGTTGGCGCGCGAGGCAGAGGCCTATTGCACGTCTTGACACCCACACCAGGTCTCGGATGGCTAGTCACAACGTCAGCTGGGTCCCGGGTGCGCACGTGCGCTTCGAGAACCTAGACTTCATCGTCACGACGGAGGAAGAGTTGATGCGGGCTCCCGTCGTCGTCCAACCTCTCCACTCCACTGGCCTCGACGCGATCGCCAAGACGCTTGAGGAGCTGCAGCTGCACGCATCGGAGGTCTATGCCCCCGGAAGCGACCAGCTCCTCGGCTTTACTGGAGGTTAGAGCGCCAGCTCGACGCCTTCCTGGGACCCGATCGTCCCGGGAGGACCTAGGCCACATCACCTTCTCGTTCACCAACGTTATGACGCAACTTGTTGGAGGAGAGCCGCTCTCCCCGGAATACCTCATCCGGAGCGCCCCGATAGCGCTCCCGCTCGGTCTGCGCAACGCAGCAGAGACCGTTGGCCACCTTGTGGCGCAACGCACTCCCCCATCCCCTACGAACGACGAGTTCGTAAGGATGACCGAATATGTCGCGGAATCTTTCCATGACCTTCTCATAGGAGAGTTGGAGTCACCCTCTAACTCTAACTCCAGCAGGGGGAGCCATCACCCCTCTCGTGAATATTTCATGGCAGGTACCCCCGAGGGGCACGTCAAAAAGCATCCATGAGGGAGAGGCTACCCCAACGAACGACCTCGACGACAAGGTCAAGGGGGATGCAGGGGCCCCACCTCACCTGCGGGCGGAGCAGCTAAAGGGCTATCACCAGGAGCTCGAGGAAGCACGACTCTAGCTCGAGCAGGAATGTGTGGAGCTCGAGCGCCACATAGACGGCGGGCGGGCGTGCGCCATGGCCCATGATATGAACCGGAGGATCATCGAGGACGATGAAGCCCTCTCACACTTCACCCGAGCGAGCCAGAACATCATTGCTATTGCGGCCTTGCTCCGGGGACTTCCGAGGCCCACGACGCCCGACCATCGCTGGGTCTATCGCGAGATTCGCACGCTACTCGAGCGTATAGCGGCGTAGCAAGACGAGAGCTCGCTGTCTCGACGATGTGAGCCGTTTTTCCAAATTAGCATCAGCAAATTAGCATCAGCCGTTTTTCCAGCCAGCCGAACAGGGCAATAGGTTAGGTGATTCATCTTGAATTCGAGTGAGCTCGGATTCAATCAAGTTTTTTTTTTCCAAAAATACCATTTTATCATGATGTTGACTTGATCAACTCTATGACACATGGTTCGTTGTGAAAAGTTTTGAAGGTGTGATTTTTGAATTGCGGACAGAAGGGAAAACATTTGACTTAAGTTTTGATATTAAAAAACCACGGAATGTTACATTCATCATGCCGTCTATTGTATTCCATAACTACACATACTTAATACCGAAATATCCCATTGAGCAATTTGGAATGATCTCTGGAATATTAAGCCCTACTCAACCAAGGTGCAGTAAACATGGGTAAAGCCATGATCAAGACACTGGCCCTTCCTCATAATTTTTTTCTCGAATATGCAGGTATTGATTTTTGAATGGCATCGGGCACGCAGTACGCTTTCCCTATAGCGGTGGCGCATTGGAACCCGTCTCGTCTCAGGTGCAGGCCCAAGCCCGGGGCCGGGACTCCGGGAGGCCGGCACCTCCACTCCCACTCCACTCCACCGCCGCCACCTCCAAGAGGGGCGACCCGAGAACACCACCACCACGCCCGCCATGTGGCGCCGCCTCCAAACCCTAGCCCCCTCGCTCCGCCGCGCCGCCGCATCGTCGTCCCCGGCCTCCGCCCGCGCCGCGCCCCTCTCCACGGCGCCGGCGGCCGCGTTCCGGCGCACGTCGCCCCTCCTCTCCTCTCCCGGTAAGCCCCGTCCTGTACCGGCCCTCAGATCTGCGGCAACAGTTAGTTCCTTGCTCCTCCGAGCCGATCGGCTTGTTCTGACGGATCGGTGGTCTGTGTCCGCGCGCAGGCGACAAGCCGGCGCTCACCAAGGTCGAGGATGTCATGCCGATCGCCACGGGGCTGGAGCGCGAGGAGCTCGAGGCGGAGCTCCAGGTGAGGGGTCACTTTGGGTTCGGAATCTCCCCGTGATTCCGGCGGCATTTGACGTGGGTTTCGATGCGTTTTCTCCAGGGAAAGAAGAGGTTCGACATGGATCCTCCCGTCGGTCCCTTCGGTACTAAGGTGAGGTGCCTGGCTGCCTTCTGCCCTGCGATTTAGCTGACTCTGTGAGATCACGCCAGCTGTTTGGTGTGGTGTAGAAAAATGTGCACGGTAGTTTCTTCCTCAGGCTGAGTTCTGTTAGGATCGTGTGATTCGATAATTAGAGGCGCTTTTAGAATTGCCCGCAGAGTACCAACTACCAACTCCAAACCCTGTTCTGCAATAGCTCAATAGAAGGCAGTGCTGTGAAACTGTCAGTGTGTCATTGGTGTGGACAGACCTCCACACCACATTTCAATAATCCTGACAAAAAAAAAAACACTTGTTATGTCCATGGCTAGTGTTCACCTGATCCAAAAGGTGGCCTTTGATTAGTTGAACGTGTTGTAGTCGTTGATTATTACTTTCTGTTCTACAAGAGCACAAGTCGTCATCATGTTAGAGGCCCCAGTGTTCAATGTTGACCAGTCTGCTCATTGGTCATCATCTACATTAAAGTCCGTGGTTTCTTTTTAACTTTTTAAATGATGGGCCCAAGATACCTAACAAATTCTGAGCCACTACTGATAGTATCTGTTCCTACGGCTTGACTTATTGACAGAACTCTTTCGTGTATGTTATGTGGAAACTTGACAGTTTTAGTGTTGTATGACTCATTTGTATCACTCTCTCCCTTCTTACTTTGGTTTTGCATACCTGATTTTCTCTGTTGCAAGATTGTTCATTTGTTAATCTTGAATGTGTTGTCTGCAGGAGGAACCAGCTGTGATTGAATCCTACTATAACAAGAGAATAGTTGGCTGTCCTGGTGGCGAAGGAGGTACGTGAAGGCTAACCATATATCTAAGTACCTAGTGTTGACTGTTGAGTATGTAACTCACCATAACTGTGCTTATTTTTCCATCGGACTTATCGCAGAGGATGAACACGATGTTGTCTGGTTTTGGTTGCAAAAGGATAAACCGCATGAGTGCCCAGTCTGCTCACAGTACTTTGTGGTAACTGAAATCAATGCCTTGACTGATTATAAAAGCTGCTTAACAGTTGTTGGTTTTCCTGTTGATTAGCACTGGCTGAAATATTCTTTTGTTGATTTTGTGCAGCTCAAGGTCATTGGTGATGGGGGTGATCCAGATGGCCACGATGATGATGAGGATGATCATCACTGAGGGCTTGTGTCGATAACAATAATAAGAACTTTATGAAACATGGTTTTGTCCTATCTTTGCAGCATCAGACTTCCCTAATAGTGTTGTAATTGATTAGTGTTTGACCATGAAGCAGGCCATGTGGTGTTTCACACCTACAAATTTTGTTCAGATCATTTCGACCATACAGTTGTTTCTGTTTGGAATGTACATTTTTTTTCTCTGGAGTGCATCATCAAATAAAGGATGAGTGCATCGGTTTCACTCTATTGACCATCTATTTCTGTGTTATATATTCTGTTCTTGATTGGATGGATACTTACACAGAAACAATAGTCATACACAAGTTCAGAACATAATGCACAGATTCTAAAGTGTCTGTCATCAACTGGGATACGCAGTACAACGTCATTTTCATCCATGTCTTTTATCTAAATCATAAGTTTGCTGCTGCACGAAAATTTACAGCTTGCCCAGGGACCCAGGGTCCATGTATCGCCAACCTATGCCAGCTAGAGTTGGGGAGAGACACTGCAACGGCTTCGGTAGTCAGTTCAGTGGTTCACCCAGGGACAGACTCGGAACAATCAGATTTTGCCTGCAAACCAGGAGACTGCATCAGCAATTCAGCATCATGGAATCGCAAGCATTTCTATCAACGGGAGAAGAACATTCAAGATCACAAGGGAACACTTCAAATGGGTTATAAAACTAGGGATCACAAGAACTCGAGCATACAAGGAATATAAAAAGTTCACCATCTAGAGGAGACATGATATCTTTTGTGGGCCTACCTTCTATCAGTTGGCATGCAAATCGAAAGGTTCTTATCCGCATACAACTTAAAGATCAAATTAATGAAAACCAATCATGTTTATGCACATGCATTCCTCAGGCAAAACATCAATAAACATCGACAGAGAAAGAACCAACAAGCTGACAGTTCTGTGCAGCAAATATTAAATGCTTGACATACTCTGAATAAAGCAATTGCTACATATGTCAAGCGGGGGAGAAGAATACCTGCAAGAATTAATTAATTTTGGGGCTTAAGAAGTACCGTGGATCCCTGAAGAACCTGACAATCCTCTCTGCCTTTTCAGTGGAAAGATCGGTGTTTTCCAGAATGGATTCCTTGGATGCTTTCGCAATTGCTTCAATAGAGCCAATGGCTTGGGCAAGCTTAAGAAAATAAATAAAGACTAGCATCACTCTACCAATCACCATGCCATGGTAAGCATAACATGGAAAAAAATAAATCGAGAACAGGCAACTGGTGTTTAGTGTGAAATTTGACTATTAGCTACTGGAGAGGTGAGAAACAGATTAGTGCAGGGAAGGTAACAGAACTCAATTTGCAAGATATAGCATGCACTCGATTCTTATTCTGGAACAGTTGCATACAACCAAATGTTTTGCATGTAAAGTTCCAAAATATGTTTAATCACTGATCTTTCCTGAATCTTATACAGATTAAAGGTACTGTGGTTAATTCTTCTCATTTCCAGAGAAATGTATGCAAATGACAAGGAAAATGATGATACTCGTATCTGCAAACAACGCCTACAAGTAACATGTGTGTCCTCCGTAAGGACAACTTGCAAAGCAGTCAGAACAAACAATCTAGCATTGATATCCAAGTAGCCAAGAGATCACAAAATTACAAAAGCTGCAAAAACCAAGTTGAGCAACTCACCGCATTTGCATCATGACTGTCAATACCAGGAATAGAGGTGACCACTTGTAAAAACGCATCCATGCACTGAACAGCTTGCTCACGCTACAGAGACAAGCAAGAGAGTCATTTATCAACAATAGAACCCACTGATAGTATATGAACATGTATCTGGGAACATACCTCAGTTCTCATAGCTGCGACAATGTCTTTCTGCTTGCACACTGAAGAAAACAGACACGCGATCAGTGCCAGCTCGTGGTTGAGAAGTTGAGCATGAGTCAGGAACTTGGTAAATGAAGCAATAGAGGTTTTACCTCCACGAGCATGAGCTATCCTTACAATCTTCTCGAAGCCCATCTCTGGATCACAAACAGGCACGAATGTAGGACAGCCAAGCTCCATGCCATACCTTGAATGAGGACAGCAGGAATAAGAACAAACCAACCCAACTAGAACAAATACTTGTTAGTTACGACTTAACGTCACAGTATGTCGGCCCATACTTGAAATATGACTGATTGAATGATTCATTCTGCTCTGGTGAGCGGACGACGACAACGACGTAGAGATACTTGACCTGCCTCTTCAGTATACTCACCCTGCAAACGCATTCCAAGTACGACATCACCATCACCATCACCATCACCATCACCATCACCACGAATGCAGTCCATCAGTGCATAACAACAAACATAACACAGGGAAGAGACAAGAGTGTCACCTGCTGAAGACCGCAGCTTCCCTTTCAGGAAGCCAGTCCGTCTCGAAGATGAAAGCAACCGATAAGCCCCCATTGTTGAAGAGGAAATCCTGGAACCCAACCCAACCCAATCAAAGCCATCCGTATACACAGTTACACACACAGCACGGCGAAACCAGTGGCATCTCTGGATCGGAGCGCGTACCGGAGAAAGCGCCATGAAATTGAGGCGGTACAGGTTGGTAGCGAGGAATGTGGGCCATGAAATTGACGAGGTCCGGGCGCTGCTTGTCTCTCCACGAGGTGCTCATCATGCACACTCCTCGGCATGGGCTCGCGTCGACCAGGGTTGGAGGAGGACCCAGCAGAGCTAACGCATGTATACGCTTGTGATTACTCCGTAGATCAGATCCGAATGCAGATTAATTGTCAGATAGATTAAGCTAGGGTTCGGGTGTTTGGTGTAAAAGCTAGGAGGAACGAGATCACCTTCCTTAGTCCTCTCGGTACACGTTATATACGGCAGAGAATAGCCCTCTGCATGACGTTTACACAGGAGGTTGTTACAACAAACTCTGAGTCATAGTTATCCTATTCTATGGTTTACAATCCCGGCCTCAACAACCTGAGCCGGTGGTCACGGTACAAAGTACCTGAACTAATCCTATCATCTAACACCCCTTCTCAATCTCAGCCACTAACAAGGTTGGGATTGTTTCTAAAACGCTCCATCTTTGACACTACAAGTGGTTTTGTAAATCCATCAGCCAACTGATCATTTGTATGTATATATCTTATGTCGAGTAACTTCTGGGCTACCCTTTCTCTAACAAAATGGAAATCTATCTCAATGTGTTTGGTTCTTGCATGAAAGACAGTATTAGCTGACAAGTACCGAGCTCCAATATTATCACACCACAACCTCGCCACGGGTTGGTGTGATACTTTGAGTTCACTAAGCAACTTTTGTATCCACATAAGCTCTGCTGTTGCATTTGCCAATGCTTTATATTCAGCTTCGGTGCTCGAACGTGAACTGTAGGTTGTTTCTTGGAACTCCAGGAGATCAGATTCGGTCCAAGAAACACAGCGAACCCCCCCGTCGATCTCCTGTCATCAACACATCCTGCCCAATCTGCATCCAAAAACGCACTAACCAACATTGAATTTGACTTCCTGATTTTCAAGCCCATATTCAAAGTCCCTCTGATGTAACGAAGAATTATTTTCACTGCAGACCAATGCACTGTGGTAGGAGCATGTAAATATTGACACACTTTGTTCACAGCATAGGAGATATCAGGTCTGGTGAGAGTGAGGTACTGCAAGGCACCAACCAAGCTTTTATATCTGGTAGAGTCATGTGTCCCCAGACTTGTACCCTCGGTTGCCTTTGAGTTTTTCCGAGACCGCAAAGGGTGTATCAACTGCCTTGCTCTTTTCCATCCTGCGTCGCAACACTTATTTGCATACCGTTTTCGTTTGCAGGACCATCATCGAGTCTCTTCACTTCTATACCGAGGAAGTAGTGAAGATGGCCTAGATCTTTCAAGGCAAAGTCCTTCTCAGATCTTTGAGAAGTGCATTAGTTGCTTCATTTGATGAGCTTGCCACAATGATGTAAATCGTCGACATATATTAGCACAAACATAGTGTATCCACCTCTATTATAGAAGAACAAAGATGTATCTCCTTTGGCGGATGAACCCTAGATCAGCTTAACGTCCTAGCGTACCAAGCTCGGGGGTGCTGCTTGATCCATAGATTGCCTTGTCTAATTTACACACATAATTGGGATGCTTGTTGTCTTTGTAACCAGGAGGTTGATGCATAAACACTTCTTCTAGAAGTTCATGCAAAAAAGGCATTTTGAACATCCAGTTGTCGGAGAGACCAGCCCTTAGACCTTTGCTAGAGTCAATATGAGTCGATTGTTTAAACTTTCACCTGCGGACTAAAGGTATCTTCATAATCAATGCCATAGCGTTGTTTGTATCCCTTTTGCTACCAACCGTGCTTTATACCGATCTATTGAGCCATCTGCTTTCCTCTTGATTTTGTATACCCATTTGCATCCTATAATGTTCTTGCCTTTGGGGGGTGGTACTAAATGTCAAGTCTTGTTGTTTATCAGGGCAGAATGCTCATTGTTCATGGCGTCAACCCATCTTTGATCACCAAAAGCTTACGCTAGCGTTGACGGTTCCTCGATATCTGCAAACCACACCAACCATTCCCCAATGAACAGTGCCATCAGTGTGTATCTTGGGTTTGGTTATACCTTGCTGAAGTCGCGTAGTTGGACGATGAGACACTGTGGTAGACGCTGGAGGTGTATCACCGTGCTGTGGATGATGCAGAACCGCACCAGATCCACCGGAGCACCATCCGCATGATGGATCCGAGTGAAAGATGCGTGGGGCCGGCTCAACCCTTCGGATCAATTGTGATGGTGGCGATCCCGATCATTGCGGCGAACGAAACGGTGATCCCGAAGGAGACGCGATGGAATGCTCCTGATAGCCCTAAGCAAGGCGGCGGGTACATGAAATAAGGCCTGGAAAGACCATTTTCAACTCCAGTTGTTGCCGAATCGGAACCTGCAGAATTCTGGACATCACAAGACCTTGGCACAGTATTAGT